ACGCAAATCTACCTGTCCTCTCCTGATCTCTCCCCGTCCCTCTTGACTAGTGTCTCTGACTGCCTCTCTGCTGTTTCTAACTGGATGGCTGCCTACTTCCTTAAACTAAACTTGACCAAAACTGAAATTCTGGTCTTTCCTCCCTCAAGTGTTGTTACTCCTGTGTCTGTCTCCCTCCAAGTTAACGGTGCTACCATCAGCTCCACCACGCAGGCTCGCTGCCTAGGTGTTCTCTTTGACTCCGACCTCTCCTTCAAGCCTCATGTTCAATTTATCGCCAAATCCTGTCATTTTTATCTCAAAAACATTGTGCGCATCCACCCCTACTTAACGCCAAATGCAACTAAGGTGTTGGTCCATTCCACTGTCCTTTCTCGCCTTGACTACTGTAATCCGCTTCTCAGTGGTCTTACATGCTCCCAACTTGCGCCATTACAGTCCATAATGAATGCGGCGACGAGGCTCATCTTCCTGTCTGCCCGCACCTCCCATGCCTCACCCTTCTGTCAGTCCCTACATTGGCTTCCTATAAAATATAGAACTCAATTTAAAATTCTGGTTCTTGCTTTCAAATCTCTACATAATGCTGCTCCCACCTATCTATCCTCCCTTATACACAGGTATGTCCCGTCTAGGCCCTTACGATCTGCTGAAGACTTACGTCTATCTTCTGTCCGTACTCCCACCTCTGATGCTCGCCTTCAAGATTTCTCGAGGGCTGCACCGTTCCTGTGGAACTCGCTTCCCTCCTCCTTTAGATGCTCACCCAGTCTCCACTCCTTCCAAAAATCGTTAAAAACCCGCTTCTTCATAAAAGCGTATCAATTAAACTGTTAATAGCTCCTGACTGATTCCTCTTCTGCAACTGTCACTAGTCTAATACTATCCTTACCTTTTTTGTGTCATTTTACCCCACTCCCTCTAGCAGGTAAGCTCATTGAGCAGGGCCCTCAACCCCTCTGTTCCTGTGTGTCCAACTTGTCTGGTTACAACTACATGTCTGTTCGTCTACCCATTGTAAAGCGCTGCGGAATTTGATGGCGATCTATAAATATAATAATAATAATAACTGGTGCCAGGTTCATGGGCACCCAAGCTTCATTGATATAGGTGGGGAGTGAAGGTGAGCCCATCTGGTCCAATCACACAGAAGCGCTTCTGTAGCTCAAATTGCTGAAAAACATGATGCTGACCTTTTAGAAGGTTATCAAGACACACAGTGCATCAGAGGTTGCTGCATATTGGGCAGATGAAACGTGTCCACCTCTGAAAGTGCCTTCAATGGGGATATGAGCGTCGGAACTGGACCATGGAGCAATGGAAGAAGGTTGCCTGGTCTGCATCACGTTTTATATCAGGTGGATGGCAAGCAACTGTGCGTCACTTACCTGGGGAACAAAAAAAAAAAGTTTCAGGACTGATTTGAAGAACATGACAAAGAGTTCAAGGTAATACCTTGGCCTCCAAATTCTACAGATCTCAATCCAATTGAGCATGTTTGGGATATGCTAGAACAAAAAATCCGATCCATGGAGGTCCTACCTCACAACTTGCAGGAATTAAAGGATCTACTGCTAATGTCTTGGTGCCAGATATCACAGGACACATTTAGAGGTCTTGTGGAGTCCATGCCTCAACATATCAGCTGTTTCGGCAGCACCAGGGGAACCTATATGATATTGTGGCTGATCAGTGTAAGCCAATCTTCCTTATGAGAATGCATCATCAAATTTGCAATAATGCAAACACCACACGTACTGACTGGGCGTGTATGCCCATGATACGCCAGCAACGGGAAGGCCCGCGATAGAGGGCAGACAAGATAGGAACCTAAAAGCTAATTGAGGGTTGCACCAGGATTAGATGAGGATGAAAGATCAAGATATGATGGAATGTTTACCGGGCCACTGGTAGAATAAGGTGTAACTTGCACGATCTGGTCTGACCACAGCCTATGTGGAAGGATCAATATTTCATGTTCCCTCCCCCCTTTTTTCTCTTCTGTACCCCATTTATATAACCAATAAAAACATCAACTGAACATTTTTCTTTAGCAATAATGCAAAGTTGTTGTGGTGGTTAAATTGATCCTTTTATGCAGAAATGTTGAGATATTAAACTTTCCCCAGGGCCTACACTCCCAAAGTGACGGCGTTCCCCACAAATTTGGACACTTCCAAATTCCTCGCTGCACCCCCAGCCTAAAGTGTAAGATTTACTGATAGAAACTGGCTACGTCTTGAGTTAATCCAGCTGTATGTTCCTATGCATAGCTTTATTTGGTCTGGTACACTTGTATGTGGTTTCTTTCAGTACATTACATCCCAGGAAATGGTGGTATCAGAACAAAAAGGCTAGGTAGCAAATAGTTGAAAGTTTGGTGTTCCGAGTAGATTCCCAGCCCCTGAAGAGTTCTGGAATCTCCCTGATAAGATAAACACCCAAGAGTTATAGATGAGGGCAGGTAAGTTACCCTGTTGGATACATTTGAATATACACAACCATGATCTTATGGCTGAAAGAGCACTATGGGAGATGTAGTCCACAACATTTGAATACCTGTAGCCCCCTTGGAGCGAGCACAGTTTAGTAGAAAGGGCCCCTGACAGGGCTAGGAGGCAGGCATAGGTGGAGCAGTAACAAGATTGGTAGATTGGGTCCAAGGGGTGGGAGCATATATATATAGGGGCAGCCATCTTAGGAATAGGCAATTTTAATGTACTCACCAATGAGGGTTTGTCCCTCCCTCCCACCCTAGAGATTGGGTGAATTTGTTTGCTCCCACTTGGTCACAGCGGCGGGGCTGGAAAGGGAAGAAAATGGGGGATAGGGACTTTGGAGTTAGAAAAGGAGCAAGGGGTAAGTAAAAAGAAATGGTGAAATAGAATTAGAGTTATCAGTTGGTTATGGTGTTGGGAGGTTTCAAGTCCGTAGGTGGCTCAGAACCTCGGAGGGGTGGGGGTATCCGGGTATACCCTCACCACTGGGCTGTTAAGAAAATGTTGGCACTTTATTGGTTATCTGTTACATATTGTTATATATTATGATATGTTATTAATGGTTAGTCAGTGCCCTATTTATTATTGGGTCTGTTGAATTTATAAGACGGCAATAGGTGGGGGCAAATGGCTTTTATTAATGTTTTATTCTTTTAGGGATCCAGGGCAAATCTTTAAAAGGACCACTCCATACCCCAAAAGCACTTCAGCACATCATAGTTTATAAAAGTGCTGATTTCAATAAGAAACAATTAAACAGCCAGGGAGGATTCCTTCCTACTTCCGTTAGCTCCCCCTCAAACCAGCTCCTCAGCTCCACACCTTATACTAGACGTGTGTGCACGTGCTCATTGAGAAGCCTCTGATTGGTTATTTCCCTGTGAAGAGACTGAAAGTCACTTTCAGGTGGAAAAAAGGGAAGGCTTGCTAAGGCTGCAGTTCATAAGATCTGCATCCTTTGCATGCTCTTTTAAGACATACCCCAATTAATACATGCATGAAAAACTCATGCATGGTGGCATATGTACTAAACAATAATTTTCCTTTTTTTTTAAAAACAAAACAAAAAAAACATGGCCAGTGGATTGCTCCTTCACAGCCTACTAGGTTAGTTTGCCTGTTAAACACAAGCTCCTGTTTTGTCAATGTACCTTTAAGGGAAACTTGGGTGTAACAATAAGCCATAAAATAGTGATACCTTTGCCATAGTTGCATAGTAATCTAGGTTTTAAAAAAAAAAAATCCTGGCAATCAACTTAGGTCCTTAATCTTCAATCTTTTAGTACTTTGCCCTGTCACAGTCTAATGTGAAAACGTTTTTGCTAAACAAAATAAATTGCTCGAGTTCAATCCAACCCAAGTGTTCTAATTCCCATGCTTATCGCAAACATGCATTGAGTTTGGAGACATTACCAATATTGGCATTTATAATAAAGTTGAGACAGGCGTGAAATGCGTTGAGTCAGCTAAGCCCACTGGTGGGAATTTCTGCATGTTATACTGTACGTTGTCTAGGTTGACATATATCACACAAGTGATTTCTAGTGCAATTACGGTTTGAGTGTGTCTTCTTTATCTTTGTTTCCTACTGTATGAAGGATTGGACAGTCCCTCATTGCAGGTTTGGACCATGACCAGATAAGAGTTTCTTGTCCTGATAAAGTATTTGATACTTTAGTCCTTGGAGCCTATATTTTTCTTTTTATGTTTGCTTTATTGATTCTGAAGATACACAATACACACGACTACACATCTTTTATGGCTCAGCAAAAAAACTGTGCCTGCGCGTTTCAATATTTCTTACCAATACCTAGAAAATGATCAGCATTTTGGGAACTTGATTAAATACTTGTTACTTTAAACCTTTTCTGAAAACTCACAAGAATAGAAAAGGCGTGCATGTTTATACACTGAATTGTAAATAGTGGTTTATTGCTGACAGCTGACTTGCAATGGAATTGGAAGAATTTGGCAAACACACAAAAATACTTTCTCCAACTCAGATATTTCAGCTTTACTACCTTGGCATTAACCAATATTCAAATTGGTTCACCCCCCCCATCCAGCTCCATTTTTGTACTGCAACTCCCATAATTCTCTGGGAGAGGTGCATTGTTTGATGAAAAGTACTCAGCCAATCCAGATCCTCCCTTGTTTATGACAACAGTTAAAAGACATGCTGTTCAGCAGTTATGGGTAATTAAATTTCTTGGCTTGTAGTATAGCTTTATGACTGTTTTACTAGAATGGAAACTTCTCGCTGCCAAAAATGCATGGTGCTCTTCTACAAGCCGTTTCATTAAAGCTGGATTAAACGCACACTCCACTGCTCAAATAAAAATTTTTAAGATTACAAAACAAAACACTTTTCAAAAGATATACCACTAAAACATGCATGTATTTCTTTATTTTCTTTTTTTTTTTATTATTGGTAAGTGTCTTGTCTATTTGCCTTTGCAAGCCTTCCCCTTTCTAATCAGCCCAGACTTTCTGTGACTGTCCAATCACAGACTTCTCAATGCAGCTCAATGAGGAGTCTTTGCAAGGCAGGTGCTCTGTGCAATAGCCTGTCTCCACTAAGCTAATCAACCATAACTGCTGATCACATAGTAAACCTGTTCCAAAACCATCCCTTACTCACAAACGACACTGATACCTTTTTACCATTGCGCATAGGGCAGCAGTCACAGTTTTATTAAACAATTATTAACTAGCAATACATTAAACCTGTCAGTCAACAGACAGATAACTTCAAGAACAAAAAGAAGAAAATCAGCGCTAAATTGCCACAAAAGAGTATAAGAAAGGCTGCACTCCTCAAAGGGGAGTCCCCAATAATCCCCTAATGGT